TGGAGCCCGCATAGCAAGAGACCAAGCCTTGTCTGCATCAACGTGTCGCCAAGCTGCCCCAATATCATGCAACCAAGAATCATAAAATTCCAGAAAAACCAATACCACCTATCAGCAAAAGACCAAAACGCCCCTCACGCTCACACAAATCACGGCATAACCGGTCCACCAAACACTGTTCACAGCTATTCGTGCTTTATATATGTAAGATAAGATGTAATGCTTGCATTATTCTCTTCAAAAACCAACCAAATGGCAACAATGGAAAAGGAAATAAAGGGAAGAAAGAAAGACCCGGGTCTAATGGTTCAAAAGAAGAAGAAGAAAAAAAGAAAAAAATAGTGAATCAACGTAAAATGCAGGAAAGGAAATAACAACATACAAAAAAGGAAAATAGGAAAAAGCAGTGAAGCAACTGATTTTAGTGGCCAAAGAAAAGTTGAGCTCCACAAACAAATTTGATCTTACTCCATATGCCTATATCTCCTCAATGGCCAAACCCCTGGCTCACTCTTGAGTCCACTCTTTTCCCTCATCATCTTCTTCAACTTCATCATCTTTTTTATGTCCCTTAACGGTGTGCTCTTCTCTTCCCACTCAATTGCTGGCAAACTCAGAAATCTCAATTCTTTCCTCAGTTTCTTCTTGTTCTTCCAAGCTCCAATTCATTCAACAACACTCCACTGCCACAACTACAACACTAAAGCATCCGAATTTGCTCTTCACTGCCCTTGATACACCCCTTGTTGATACCCAATCATTTCTTGCCACTGTCAGTGTCTTGGCTGCCATTGCTCTCTCCCTATTTTTTGGCCTCAAGGTTGCCTTTTTGTTGATTAAATGTGTTATCTTTTTGTGGTTTCTGCTTGATTTGGCTTCATATGCTTATTAGGCAAAAGGGTCGTTCTTTTTTTAACACTAAATTTTCTTCATCCTTTAGGATTATCTAGTGCAGCTTGAAATTATAAGCATACTGTTTTTGTTTCTTTTGCTAAAAAGCTGTTATTTTCGTGGTTTTGTATGTGCTGGGGGATCTTGTTCCTTGCGACAGGTGTGCTGGAAATGGTAATCTCTTTTTCTTGGAACGAATTATTTATACATTAGCATACCTGCATTTAGTCTGCATAGTTGACTTGTATTTAGATTGCAAGTGCATTTTTATGTGTAATTTTATATTATTTTATTAAAAACTGGTGTTTTCGTTTATCTGCACAAAAAATCTAATGCAGATTGGCAGGAAACTTTATAAGTCGAGTCAAGTCGATAGTTAAGTTTCTAGACATGTTCTCTCTCTCTCTCTCTCTCTCTCTCTCTCTCTCTCTCTCTCTAACGTCTTATTTGATGTCCTACAAAGGTGAAATTTTTTTATTTTTCTGGTCGAGCAATGCTGATGATCACTGCAGATTTTGGTTGGCATGTTTTGTGTGTTTGGTAATAAAAAGTGGAAATCAAGCACCTCAATGTCAAAATAGAAGTGACTTTTTTGGTTTCTGATTAGAAAAGGAAGAAAGAAAGAGAAGAAGAAAATAGGGAGGTAGAATTCTTCAGGAATCTTTTTAACCAGATGTGATTTAAAGGTTTATAGCCTGAAGTTCTGCTCTTTCCATAATATGAAAAAACCTATGTCCAATGAGAAGAAATCTCTTAAGTCTGTTAAAGAAACATTGAAAATGAAAATAATCTTCCTAAGTGCAGATTGTGGAATATTAATCTGGTACTACTTCGTTCAAAAATGTGTCTGTATTAATCAGATAGATGCTTTTAGAACAGTGTCAAATGAGCATCTTTAAGTTGAGGAATTGACGTACAATTGATTCACGAATTTCCGACTGATACTATATTGGAGAATTTAGCTATTTAGCTCTAAGACTGTGTGACTGATTACATTCCAATTGACAGAATTCATAGTAATTCGTTTGGTACATAAAGAAGACCATGTTTCTCTCTTTCTCAGATGGTGCTTAGCTTCAACTGACTCAACAGAATATTGCCTAAGCTGCTCCTTTTGCAAAAATAGACTGGTAGAGGCACTATGTGGAATCAATGTGACAACCCAATAATCAAAAGTTGCAAGGCTTCAGAAACTGATTTCAAAGGGTGAGGAATGGGTAGGATGGTGTAAGATGAAGGTCAAGAATGAAGATCATACTTTGTCTTAGTACCAAAATCCTTGAGATGGTATTTAAAGTTGTACCTACCTTAACCTTTCAAATTGCTAATTGAACATGATTTAAGTAACTCTTTTTCAACTTTTCTTAAGCATAAGCAAAACAAAAACGAAAATAGAGCTGCTACAATTCGATTTGGGAGTTTTTAAATCAATTTACTAGTTTAATATCCTCTATGATGTGCGTTTGCATGAGTCATACAGGATTGCTGTTTCACTACTTGCTTCTGAGTGATTGACAAAATACCACTTGGTTTCTTTTTGGGCAATTTTAGGCTCTCCTAACAATATGTTATGTACTTGGCTCCAAGGATTAAGATTTGGAGCATATTTTATGAGCCTAAATAGAATATTAGAAAGGTCTGTTTGTTCCAGGCGTACATAGTTTGACTTCAACAAGCACATAGGAAATTGTACTTTGACATTAGCCCTATGAGATGGCTCTTTACAGATTCTAGATTAAACGATCCTATTGCTGACCCTTAGCCCTCTGCATCTTTGTACAAAGTTCAAATATGAACCGCCAAGTCATCTGCCTTATTGTTTATGTCTATCAATCTCAACTGTCCAATCACATATGCGCCAGCAATGTTTTGAAAATCGGACCAGACCGGATGGTTCGATCGGTTGAACCGTGAACCGGCCATGACACCGGTTCGGTTCAATGCCATAGTTGGCTTTGCAAGAAAATCGGTCAAGAACCGGTCGAACCGTAAAAACCGCTATTGAACCGGTTTTCAACCTTCCTTCCTTTTTTTTTTTTTTTTCAAAATGCAACTATCAAGATTCGAACTCAAGACCTTTGTAATAGAAGACAAATGTATTCATCGTTGTACCATCACATCTTATTAGTTTTTTTTGATAACTTATTTATATAAAGGAAACACTCATATTTCTTTTTTCCATTTTTCTTACAAAATCTCATCCTCTCATGGCTCTTTCTTTTTAACTTTCAACTCTCTCTCTCTCTATCCTCTTTTCTTTTGTCACTCCCTTTTTAATCAAACCTCTTTATTTTTAATTTATTTATGTTTTCTTCCATCCTTTAATTTTGTTTTTGTCCATTAAATTGAAAAAAATTTAAAAATAATTATTTTTTTAACCCAAATTATTTAATGCCACAACCACTCACTTTTATCTCATTTTTTGTTTCTTATCAAGTTTACATTTCTATTTTCGATTTTCTTGACTTCCTTCGAACTCCAAATTTCCTTTTTTAAATTGCAATCTCTAAATCCCAAAACGTAAATTAAAATTTAAGTTCACAATATCTAAATTCTCATAGACGTGAATTTTGTATAATTTCAAAATATTGTGATATTTTTGGGTTGGATTTATATATAATTGAAATTGAGATAAAATTTATTTGTTTTAACTTATAATTTAAAAAATTTATTTTTAAAAATCCAAGTTATTAAAAAATAGTAAACTTTTCATCATATAAAGTATTAAATTAGTCCATTACATGTCTTATTTTGTACATATATATATTTATATAAATTATTTTTTAAAAAATTTATTGAACCGAGGTTGAACCGGTCCGACCGGTTGAATCTCGACCCTTTCACTTCACCGGTTCAATTAACGGTCCGGTTTTTAAAACATTGTGCGCCAGTGGCCAGACACATGGAAACACGTCTCAACCACCATCTAGAAGTCTAACTAAATCAATCGTCTCGATTCTCTTACTTACAGCTTCCATCACCATAAGTAAAAGCAAATTCATTTAAGTACCATATGGTATACTGAGGCACTACCCGGGAAAGTGAACAAGCTGAAATCATATGACCTGATAGCGTCAACGATATTACAAGCTATACGTACTCGATCATTATATATCAAGAGGAGTTTAACTGGTGGGAGCAAGTTGAGATAGTTAGGCAAAAGCGTGTGTTGTTTCTGGAATGTTTGAGCGGTGATGTTGCTTTGCAGCCCACAGACTCCTTTTGAGTATAGTGGTACTGGACGAGTTATTCCCCTTAGCTATTCCCTTATTATGGTTTCATTTGACCAATTACTTGTCCTTTTTGAGTTTTGTATTATTGCCCTTGAACAATTTATGTAGCTCAATGCATTTTTAAAGTTTTCCAATCAGCTAAAACCTGTTATATACATAAGTGGATCGAATTATGTTAGTGTCACCAATGAGTACGTAATCACGCTCTTGTTTGGCTTGAAGACTTCTGTGAATCTCTGTAGTCCTTTTGGATTTGAAGCCATGATAATTTCAGATACTTGTTGATAATTGGTAGTGTTCATTACGTGTTAGTAGTCATTTCCCCCATAGCTGATGAACTATTCTTTGTTAATTGACGACAGGTGGTACCAAATGTGTCTTCTGCAATGATGGTAAGATGAAAATGGAAACAGGGCTGGTTGATTGCAGGGTCTGCAAGGGTGCAGGTTTGTTACTTTTTAACTGTGTACCACAATTAATATTTCGGAGCATTAACAGGTCTAAGAATACATTGTTTATAAACTTGATATTGTTGCATTTTTATCACTTCGGTTGTTAAGCTAATAGTATCATTCTACAGGTTTGATACTGTGTAAGAAGTGCGGAGGTTCTGGATATGCAAGACGTTTGTAAAGAGCTTTAGAACCCCCAGAATCGCTTTTTCCCCTTGTAATTGCCAATATGGAAGATAATGTCATATCCCTAATTCATTTATTCAAGACTATCTTCTTAGCATCTTTACTAGGTCCACTTAACAGTTTCCATCTTTTTCTTTTGTTCCTTTCTTTTTTGGGATTTTTTTGGGGGGTGGGGGGTGGGGGGCGGGGTGTTAGTATCATTTTTATCTACACTTCCTGACTTGGTCAATATGTATGATTTGTATGGCATATTATCACCTGTCTGTTGCTATAGAACACCCAAAAAGGTGGAAAAATTGTACTGAAAGTGGGAAAATAGTAGTCCAGGTAATCGATCAGTTTCTCTTTTGGGAAAATTCTATCAAGTTAACAACAGAAACAGGAGCTGAAAGCCAGGAAGACTCGTGGATTGTTTCTGACCTCCATGTTTCAACCGTGGCCATTAACAATTGCAGACAGCTACTTATGCATCTCACTTGGTCTGGTAATCCCACAAAACATGGTATTTGGTGGCATTTTACTGCCTTCTTCCTTCTACTCTTCCTACAATTTCCAACCTTGAGCGATGCTATTGCTTATTAAGCTCCAGCCTTTGGTGGTGAGGATGGAATGATGTTTCCATTTGCAACAATAACACAACACCATCCAAAAAGAACTTGTATCAAGACTTTTGTGCTATATTTTCCCCAAACAAAAAAAAAAAGGAAAAAGAAACAGACTTATACACTAGATCGTATATGTATTGATTGCATAATTTGCATTCAAAGACATCTGACTATTGTTTGGGAGCTTACATGCAGAGACAACTAATCATCCTCATTCTAAATCAATTGACAAACATCTACTTTTACAAAAGTTTGGTAATAAAAGCAAAAGCATATTACATCCACTGTATATTGGATCCATACTAGCTAGGAAGAATTCAATTCTGTCACCATGTTATTTTCAAGACATGAATGAACCCAATTGGCAGCCGTATTTACTTTGTCATTTATGAAGAAATCACTTATCACTTTGCCATCCATTTGTCTAGATAAGATGGAAATCTTAGCCATATCATTACCTAAGTTTCCATTTGACCGGCCTGCCAGCTTTCTATTCTGACCATGAGCAAAGACCAACATGTAGGCCATCTTTTGAAAAGAGTCTTACAATGGTTAATCTTATCCACCCTCCTCCGGCCACCATGATACGAAGAATGTTATATTTTCCATTTTAAATTTAAAGAAGTTGCACACTTGTTACATATTAGTACTAAAATTTAATTAATACCATTTTTCACCCATAAATTCACTAATTTGAAGTAATTATATTTCTTCATAATTTTGTAGAACCAATCTAGATATGACTTGGATAGAGGATCAATTCCGCTTCAACAGGAGCAAAACTCGAAACACCAAAAGCAACAGGTCAAAAAATTGAAGCAACAAACCAGTAGAAGTATAGAACTCACAAGTGATTCAGCAATTAGGCTTTTGGTTCAAGTGGCAGACCAAGCTTTGTCTTTAATCCTGTCCTGTATTTTTGGCACCACATTAACTCAAGAGAATTTGCTTACATAAACATTTCAAACCTAATCCACAAATATCCTAAAACGAAATATATTTCACAAACTAAATGCCAACAAAAATTCCAATTCAGCATGATCAGTAGTTGAAACCCTTTTGTCCTGCTAAACCACTAGGACTTTCATCAATACTATTTAACCCCCACCTATTATTTGATGACATAAAATTGTTCCTAGTAATAATTTTTCTCTCAGACAATTTATCAAACGTATAATAGACATGTCGGATACGGCTATTCCGGAGGCTCCGGCAGCTGTCTCTGCCTCTGCGACTGCCACTGAACCGTATGAGGTGGACGAATGCCGGGGAGTCCTCCGAGTCTATAGCGACGGCTCAATTGTCCGGTCCACCAAACCAAGCTTCGAAGTGCCTGTAGAAGACGACGGCTCCGTTCTCTGGAAGGACGCCGTTTTCGACCCAGAACGCAATCTTCAGCTCCGGCTATACAAGCCGGCTACAGCGACGTCGTCGAAGAAGCTCCCGATCTTTTACTATATTCATGGAGGAGGGTTCTGCATTGGCTCACGCGCATGGCCCAATTGCCAGAACTACTGCTTCAAGCTGGCTAAGGGGCTTGAAGCGGTGATCATATCTCCTGACTATCGGCTGGCGCCGGAAAACCGGCTTCCGGCTGCTATTGAAGATGGGTTCATGGCAGTGAAATGGCTTCAGGCCCAAGCCGTGGCTGACAAGCCGGACACATGGCTCACTGATGTAGCCGACTTTGGGAGTGTGATCATTTCGGGTGACTCGGCTGGGGGAAATATATCTCATAACTTGGCTGTTAAGCTTGGAGCCGGCTCACCTGAGCTGGCGCCGGTTAGAGTAAATGGGTATGTCCTTCTGGCTCCTTTCTTTGGCGGGACTGTGCTTACCAAGTCTGAAGCTGAAGGGCCAACAGCTGCATTCTTGAATTGGGAGCTCATTGACAGGTCAGCTGGCTGGCTAATTGTGCAGCACTAATTTCATATTTTTTGGAATACACTAATTCGATAAAAAAAAAAATGCACTAAATATTTAGACACATAATGATTTTTTTTGATAAATTATAATTTTTTTATTAAGGGTTTTGTGATTTTTCAAGATTAACTTGTACCTGTTCAAACAAAAAAAAAAAGTTGTATTTCAGTTATACAATAAATATAAAATAGATCACTTTTTACATTTTTGTTGGTTCTCGTTTTACATCAACTTAAACATGTCAAAAGTGATGCAAAGTAGTTATTGTAATGTGTCATGCCCATTGAAAGCGATACAAATTGATAGCAATTGTAATTGTTTAAGGAACTCATGATTAAGATTTGATTACTTTTATGTACAAATTATGTGAATTCCTTGTTTAAATTGCGAGTTTTCGTAGAAAAATTTTCTAGATGCATTTTGTAATTACTTTTTTATCTCACATCGCTATAGTATATATTTTGACAAAAACTTCAGAACCTTGCAATCCAAACGGATAGATTTTGTGATTTTGTTAGGTACACCACCACGGTGAAATTCGTTAGCTAATGATTTGTTATTTTGCTTGATGAATTAGGTTCTGGAGGCTTTCAGTACCAGCTGGGGAGACTACTGACCATCCGCTAATAAACCCATTTGGACCCTTAAGCCCCAACCTGGAAACAGCTGATCTTGATCCCATCCTAGTGGTTTGTGGAGGAAGTGATTTATTGAAAGACAGAGCTGAGGAGTATGCAAAGAAGTTGAAAGGGTGGGGAAAGAAAGTTGAGTATGAGGAATTTGAAGGACAGCAACATGGGTTTTTCACTATAAATCCCAACTCTGAATCTTCCAAGAAGTTGATGGGGATCATTAAACAATTCATTACTGAATATTCTGCCTAAGTACTCAATGTTTGATGAGCCTTTTCAAACGAAGAAGAAAAGAAACAGTTGAAGCCTCATTTGTGTTTATCAATTGTAGGTATTTCTGTTCATGTCATGTGTTCCGTAATTGCTCAAATAGTATATCATGTTACAAATTTGTGCCAAGGAATTGTAGCCTCCATTAGTGTTTTGTATCGGACTTGTGCTTTATCTCAAGTTTCATCACCTTACAAATGATATTAAGTTGGAGCTACATAGGAATCAATTGACTAAACAACCATTTCTTTACTAGAGAATAAGTTCATTTCGAAATAACATTGAAATGTTGATCATCGATTTAAAACCACAAAAGTATACAAGGAGGAAAAAAAATAGATAAATACTGCAACTTATTCATGGGTATTAATTGTCCCGTTCCAAATTCACAACTTTATATGATGATTATTTAAGGATAAGTACGAGATTTCGAAATTTCGAACATATCTATTTCACAACATCACTAAAAGGTCAATAATTATACAACCTCTTTATGTGATCATGTTGTTGAACGTTGTTTTGTATATTAACTCGTTCTTGATGGCACCAAGGATGCCATAATGCATATGATCTTTCCTTAACTAGTAGTTAGCCTACTGCTAGAACAAATTAGGTATGTTTCGTTATCAAGATTTGCCAAAAAAAAATTCAAATTTTGTTTTGCTTACATCATAAGTATAATTTCCAACCACTTTTTATCTATCACATATATCACGTCATAAAGAGTATTACTGTAATTATTTCAAATAATCACCCTGCCAAAACAAATGTTTTCAAGGTAATTGATAGGTCACTTTACCTCTTTAACGTTTGGTGCCACTATCAATTTCCCCCTTAACGTTATTTTTTAATCACTTTATCCCCAAGACTAACAGTCAAATTTAACGGAGTTTGTTAATTAAAGTAAAAAGACAAGTATAGCCCTAAAAGTTATTATCACTTTACCCCTATAAACTATAGCCTCATTATCAATTTACCCCATAAAGTTATTTTTTAAACAATTTATCCCACCATTAAACCAATTTAGTAAGTTAAAAAACTTCAGAGAATACCCTCCTCTTTGTATAATAAAAACAATAAAAAATTTAAAGTGGCCCTTTTCATTTTTAGTATCAAGAAAAAAAATCAAAGTATTAATCTCTTTCTTCTTGGCAATCTTATTAATATTAAAACAAATAGAAAGATTAGGAGGGGAAGGGAGAGGGGGAGAGAGAGAGAGAGAGAGCTCAATTCTTTTTTTTTTTTTAAATACACATAAGAAAGAATGCAATACTTTTATTATTTTAAAATTATTTTACTTTAATGTTTACCGCCAGATTTCAATCCTAATCCCAATAACCTTAAATTAATACGATAATGTTAGACTTTTCTTTATTTTTTTTCTTTGTAAAATCTAATTCTCTGTCTCCTTCTTTCCTGTCTCTTTTTCTTTTCCTAATAATAAGTGTGAAAAAAATTTTGAGAAAATCTTTTTATTTTTATATTTTTGGATCTCTTAAAGTGAAAAAAAGAAGAATAATCATTCCAACTTTTTTATTTTTAATTATATATATATTAAAGGGTCAATATATTTAAAAAAATTTTACCATACTAATTAGATTAACGATGAAGTAAAATGCCTAGAAAATAATGTTAGAAATTAAAGCGATTATATCACTATAATTTAAAGGAATAAAATAATAATAACAATATAGTAATGCTATAGAATAAAAAGGTATTTTTGTCCAAAATTTCTTAACATGTTAACTTGAATTACTTATGGGGGTGAAATGACTAATAGATAACGTTAGGGGATAAACTGATACTAGTAATATAGTTGAAGGGGGTAGAGTGATAATGACCCTAATTGATATTTGATAGTCACTAATGAAGAATGCAAAAGTTTGTGTGAAATAGATGTAGAATTTTTTGTGACATGACTTGTCAATAACAGAAAGTTCATAAACAATCTCTATGAGTTATAAATTTCCATTTAGTTTAATCATTTAAGTCTTCCGCCACGCAATGTATATAGGTGATTGTCATAGTTCATGAAGAGTTGTTCTCACCTTGCTTGACATCCACAATTTGGTTCTATTTTTTTTAAAATTAAATTTTCTTTTGCATTTATTTTACTAAACTCTCCCTTTTTGTCACAACAAGAGATATTCTTTTGTTGTGGTCTTACTATCTTTTTCTGATATCATTTTAGCACAACTCATTCCTAGCCTAGGGACAAAAGACCAAAGAATTGGTAATAGAAGTGAAAACAAGTATCATAAACATTGTCAATCTTTTTTTGCTTTTTAATACAAGCTCACCATTTCAAACAATCGAAATTATTTTACTTATTCACTTTTGGTCTAGCACGTTCTCTTTCTTTCTCTAGTTCCTGTAGACACCAAATTTTTTAATTTAGTTTATTTGCTATTATTTTTTTTGTTATGTTAGTTATTATTTATTTTAGTCTCTTACTTTTATTTTTAAGACATTTTTAGCATGGAATTTATCGAAAAAAGAAAATCATTCACAAAAATATGCTTTGTTTCGTTTAATGCGAAATTTCTTGCATGTCATATCAAATAGGGCAGGCTCCTAGAGAGTACCATGCCAGAACTCTTATTTCCTAGGGCTTATGAGTGTAATGGAGACAAAAATCGATAAAAGTTAGTTCAATCAGATAAATACACATAACACATTGTAACAAATCAATACAAAGAGATAAAGCAATAAAAGGAATAGAGGGGTTGGATCCCTCCCCTCGTGAATAGTGTCCCTAATAGGGTAAGGCAGACTCTACCCTAGGTAAAACTATCATGGATGCATGAGGCCGGGGCTCACTAATGCATCTAGACTCGATAGGTTTTAGGTCCCCGAGCCTTCAGACTTGGAAAACAAGAGTCATCAATCCCAAGGTTCTTTGTCGGTGGCTCGAGCGATTCCCCAGACATTGCTACGCACACATCGTGTCACGGCTACATTTCATGAGTGAATCTATCAAAAATCCTTAACCTTCCACTAAAAGCTAAAGGCTATGACCCAAAGCTTAAAATGGAAGATTGAGTGACTCCTCGGATCAAGCTACGCACAAATCGTGTCGCGATCACAAGTCCAAGTGAGTCGCCTAAAATCCTAATAGGGTGGAGTGGCGTGACAAGTCACTAAAAGAAAAATAAAGGAGGGATAAATAATAAAGCGTATGCACGTATGCTAGTGCTCCTTTTTGGAGGGGAGGGATCGAGAACCAATGCGAGACTCTA